GAGGTAGGGTAAGGGTTTGTTGTGGGAGGTACCCTTTCCAAAGTGTTCCTTGCTTGAGGGTGTTTTTAGAGTTCTTAGGGGTTCCAATTGCTACGGCAATTTTCAAGGCATTGGCAGTTGTGAGCATATCGGGCAGCAGGTCATTTGCTTGAATTCAGAAGGGGGTTATGTCAAATTGGAGCTCAGAGATAGTGGAGTTTCCATTCCAACATTTAAGGAATACAAATTGTTTTTTAACTGTTGTACGTTTCCTGGTTTCTTCATCGGTGAATATGAAAATGTAGGCATCTTGCTCTCCATCCCCGATTCCCAGATGGTTTCCGACATTCCATGCTGTTGTGATTATTCCCTTGATTGCATTTCGGTTGATTATTTTTGGTTAAGAGTTTTCCCATTAGGCATGATTTGGTCACAATTCACAAAGGTAGCGACTTGGATTGAGGCTGGATGTTTGGGTTTTGTTGTTACTGGGTGGATGTTCTTGCATATGAAGAGGGATTAAACCCCTATCCATTGCATGAGCGGTGGATAAGAACTGTGAACCTTGACAACGGGGGAGGTATGAACGGTAGGAGGCAAGCATCTGAGAAATGAGAGTGGTATGAAAAATGGCTGTTGGTGGGTTTGTATGATATGAAGAGTGATGAGGAAATAGCAAGTTTAATGTTGAGGTATGAAGGGAGGGAGGGGGGTATTGAAATTCAGGGAGGGCCACCATTTTGGGTGGGTGCTTGTAACGTCCAACAATAACTATAGTGATACATAACCTCGTAATTTTGTCCCTCCAAAGCTTATCTCAACTAATTTTTTTATCAATGATACAGCTAGATTGACGAAAATTTATCAACGAAAACATCGGGGATAGATGAATTGTACATAAATGTAGATGCATAGAATCTCAAAAAAAGAGTAGAGCACCCAGTCATTATGAATTTTCTTCAATTCTACACACGCTTTGGTTGGCGGGAAGTACCGGCATGAAAACCTTCTGTATATGCTGTGTTCTTGAATATTGTCTGCAATAAGAAAATCTACTCAGAGATAATGGACTGAGAAAAATGAAATTGGTCATCCAAAAATGAAAATGAAACGATTAAGCAAAATGCAACTACCACCATCTTTGTAGTATAAATGTCACAGTACAAGGAAAAGGTTAAGTTAAAGAAAAGTAAATGTAGATATGTTAATGACATCTTTATATTGAAGTGGTGGATATTTCCCTAGTCTGCTAAAACGACGACTATGCAAGCAATGTCATTTAAACTTGAAGCACTCTCTAATTCTGTTAAAGATGACCCACATATTCAAAGAGAAAGCTAAGCCTGAATTTCGTTTCTAAGAGTTGTGTAAAATCACAATTGCCAGATACAATAACATTGCTCATAGCCAAAAGTAGTTACACATAACAGGCAGAAAAGTAAGAAAAAACCATTATACAATCCCGTACTTTCAGTTTATGAGAAAGAAGAAAACAAATACTCACAGCTAGGTTCTTGAACTCTGTGGTAAGCTGTTTTCTTATACTGTCTGATACCATGACACCAAGTTGTTCCCCATGTTGGTTTATAGTTTCTTCTTTGATCTGCATTATATGATTTCTCAGACACAGCAGAAACAGTGTGACTTTAAACTGAGTGTAGTATTCTACTTGCCTCTGCTATAACGATAGCTGATGTTTTAACTATAATTTCTTCAACAAATTTCCCAGGATCAGTAAAAGAGCTCGACAAATTCATGGCATTAGTCATTTTCTCCTTTTGTGCATCATTGGGCGGATTAACAGCTTTTGCTATAGCAAAGAGAGAATAAAAAACATGTCAACAAGACAGCCAAGAAAATTTTGTCACTGATCCACAACCACGGGTAAAAAAATTCCCCAAAATTTATTTCCTTGTGAAATGGAATAGACTCTATTAGAGAAATGAGCATTGAAATTGTCGATCCCACGGTTTTGACATTCGGATAAATTTCTACAAGAAATGGACCCCTAGTGCAAAGTGTCCATCTCAAAAATAATTGATCTATGTATTTATCGAAGAAATCAGACCCTTTCCATCTCCCGGAAGGGCACACACCACATTCACAAAGAAATCTTAAGATTTGGAATCAATGGAGTTCAGACTGCAACAGCTGAAACAATACAGCAGGACAGAACCATCAAAACCCTTATACATGGCCATCAGGGGTCGCGTCTTCGATGTCACTGTCGGCAGGATCTACAGAGCGCGTAAGGACTACAATAGGTTAATATTTTAATGTCCTAATTGCATGCATATACTTCCTTGCACTGTTGTCGGATATTATAATAAATCAAAAATGACAAGTGGGTGGTTGCTAAGTAGTTTGCCAGGTAAAAATCTTCTTCACGAGGGTCTTTGATTAAGTTGACCATCACATAGATTATTTATCAAATCTGGATGAAATCTTTGATAAACATTTGAAATTTTCATCACGAGGTTGGTTGATTAAGTTTTTAGTGACATAAATTGTTTATCACTTCATCATAAATTCTTTGAATGCATCTGAAATTTTCTTCAGTAGAGCTCATTCTTTTTTCTGATTTGTGTTACTTTTATATTTTTTTCAATATGGATTGTCATTTGTTATACATTTGTAAGCAATAATACAATGGAAGTAGGCCTTTATTTCTTTGCTAGCAGAATCATTCAAAAGCCTCAAGAAGGTGTCATCTACTATTAAGGGATTTGACTTCAGTATTGAAGGAGGTACGATACCTTTCAAATGTTATCTGACATTTGGATAAATTTTTACAAGAAATCAAGATCAATATAGGAATATACCATGACAGTGTTTACTCGGAGAACATGAACATGTTGGTAGCACATAGCACATTAATTGAAGACTAAAGCTGATCTTTTATTTTTAAAAAGACTATGTTGGACAAGGTAAATTTAATTTTAGGAAAAATGTTACGGATATGAGTAAGTGCAAAGATTAGCTTGCTTACTGTTTACAAAGTCTGCCAGGCAAGTGATACTGCCGGGCTATGAGATAAATATTGTCAAGTTATGCTAAATTCATCAAAAAGAATCAGATTGTATCCACAACTGAAAAAGCGAAAATAAAAAATAATAATAAACTAAGAAACAGGAACACAGCCACAAAATGATGAGGACACTCCAACACAGCAACTCTCAAAGTAGTGCATACAGGCACTGCAGGAGACAGCAATATATAAATACATCACAAAACACACCCTTAAAACATTGGAGTACAATTTTTTCACATGCTTAAAGAATTTAGCTGAATTAAGTGAATAAAAATAGTGAAATGCAGGGTTATTTGATAGAAAGAATTGACAAGGAATACATATGCTAAAGATCTAAATCCTTTTCTTTTTTTTTTTTACCATAGATCTAAATCCTTTACATCATAATGAAAATAATGAAGGTGTCAGAACAATAATTTACTTTATCGCTTTTTCAAGTTTTGTTGGAGGGGAAGGAGGGTCTTTCATGGACATCAATACACAGAATCAATGCAAAACACTCAAGGTAAAACCCTTGAGAAGGTTGTGCAAAGACTATTAAACAAGTAAACTGCCTGCGAAAATAGATATCGTAACTAGTTTTAGTTTATAGAAGGAACCACAACCTAACTTGCATGAGATTCAACAAGCGAAATCAAGTTCAAGACAAGATAAAAATGAAGAAGACATGGACCAAACACATCTGTGTCAGGCAATGCAAGACAGCATCGGCACCTCTAGGTGGGTTTTTTTTTTTGGGGAGGGGGGGGGGGACACAAAAAACAGGGCCTAAAGCGAAAAATTTTAATGAGAACCTATTAATTTTTAAGATAAATTTTAAGATTTAAATTATTATAAAATATTATTTATATTACCACCTTTAGAGATGAAAAGAATTCATTAGATTTTTGTATTTAAGTTTTGTTAACATGTTTTCTTCAATAAATAGTATAATTCACTTGAAAAATGTGTGATACCTATAATGGTGAGATAGAATTTTACTAGATAAATTATAAATAATAAAATTTAAGCAAAATATTATAGACTCTAATGGTGTTTTAGTTTTATATTAATAATATAAAAAATTATCAACAAACTCAAATCACATCTAAAGAACTCTAACTTTTCAAAAGATTATTGGATTTTAGAAATATCAATGAATGAAATAATTTTCCGGTTACACAAGTAGTTGGTAATAGTATGTTAAAAAATATTATATCACTAAAAAACATTATTGTAAAAGAAATTAATATTTCATTGGTGTAGGGGTCTTAAAAATAATACTGAACTCAATTGAATTTGGGTCTACAATCTTTGCTGACCAATTTTTAGAGGCTCTAAAAATCAATTTGGGTTTGATTGAACATGAGTATACAAATTTTATTTGAGGCTTTAAAAACAAATATGGGCTTAATTGAATTGACTCCCAAATTTTTTTGGGCCCTAAAAATAAAAGTGGACTTACTTGAACCTGAGTTTTAAAAATTTTACTAGGGACCTAAGAATAAAATTAGATTTAATTGAACCTGTGCCTAAAAAATTTATTTAGGGTACTAAAAATAAAATTGGACTTCATTGAATATTGATCTAAAAATTTTATTTGAAATCCTAACAATAATATTAGATTAATTAAACCTCCTTAAAATGTGGCCCTAAAAATTCGAGGGCCTAAAGTGGCGGCTTCAATAGCTATGTCGTTGAGCCAGCCTTGCCTCTAGGAGCTGCATTTTCTGGTCTTCTGAGTTTGAGAACATCTTGTCACAAAACCAGATCATAAAGTGGGTATGCTTAAATATTTTCTGTCTTTTTGCAACATTCTTCGTCCGCATGTCAAAACAGAGATTTTATTTGTAAGAAAAATAAGAAAGATACACAGATAGGCTCATAAATAAGATATGAATCATACAAAGTTGATCAGCATATTAGAACAAGCAGAGGCCATGAAAATTATCATGTTTGGGATGGTTTCATCCATCTTTCAAGTTTCAACCACATAACAACGGTAAAGTTATAGAAGTTCATTAAATGTCCACCAAATTGTAAAGACAAACCCAGCTCATATTAGGTCAATTTTAGTGAAAGAAAGAATAATAAATCAAACTCAACAGAAAGGTCATGTGAAAGGGCAGAAATGCACCATTCTCAAAGGAACTCTAATGGGTATACATAGTAAAAATTGAAAGGAAAAATATTCGAACAGAAAATACCACATCCGATCTTCACTTAAAGTAGTGTAAGTAATAAAATTGCAGTAAAATACCTGTAACAGCTGTCAACTTATTATTCACGAAGACATGGCTTTTGTCCACGCTTTGCAGGAAGCTGTGATTTCTGCTGGCTCTGGCAACACCGTTGTGCCAGATGGAACAAGAGCAACTAGGTCAGGAGGTTGATCTTTCCCCACTGAAGGGTTAGACTGCAACAAAACACAAACATTTTTTACCAAAAAGAGCATATGAACTCACTCAACAAACTGAACATCATATTTACCTCCAGGTCAACATAGGCAGGGTCCTTTCCTATAGATTTCAGAAACTTGTCAAGATCATGGGCATTAAGAGCTGTAACCAGAAATGTTATGTTGCAAATTATGATCAGGCATTACAATGCAAACAAGAGAGTAAGATATTTGAGAAAGCACTTTTCTTTAGTTAAATCACAGTTTGGATAATTTTCGAGACACATATTATGGCCAACAGTAAAAGTTGATATCACACATCCTTCTTTATGTCTCACATAAATATTTCACTCATTCACTAGAGTTAAATTCCCTTTCAAAGAATTTAACATAAATGTCATTGACTAAATACTCTAAATGAAAATTCAAAAAAGATACAAATTTAGCAGCATTTTGAAAAGAAAAAAAAATGTTTTCATTGAGCAACAATATCTGGTTCAAGCATCTTTTTAGTACTGCATGAATAAAGGGCATCCATTACACATCATGTCAAATTCAATAGGGCAAAGAACAATACCATGAGATGGAAAGCAGATAGGATTTTGAAATTTGGAGTGCGATCATTTAAGGTGTTAAAGGCTGGCAGGCAGATAGGCTTCCTGTGAAAGGACATTTGGCAGGTCAATGTCTAGAGGCATCTTAATTTGCATGGAGGGTAACTTTAGAGCCTATTCTGAACCCATGTTAAGTTAGACATCACAGCAGAAGATTACTTAGTAGCATTTGTATGTGAAAGAAGGAAAGGGAAACATTTTATCACTTCCTGATTCATATATCAGGGCTTGAGAATTATATCATCTGCTTCTCTCTAGCTTTGGGATGACATTGGTGAAGACATGGCTAGTAGAAGAGCTCATTGGCTGTTGACGTCGGGTTCATGCTTGCAAGAGACTAAGGCAAGCTTCGAAGATGACAATTCTTTCTTTGTTGTGCAGTGTGTGAAGAGAAAGGAACAGATGCCCTTTCAAGATGCGGAGATATGACTACCAAGATTGGAAACTTTGTTGCTAAACATAGCTATTTGAGTTTCAGGGAAGATCCTGATTCTTTGTAGTCTATTAATTTTATAGGCAAGTCGAGTTTTGCGAAGGGCTAAGTTGTTTCATTGAGTTACAGTATGTATAGCGCCCCCGCTTAGCGCTTTTTTCCATCATACATTAACATAAGGACAAAACTGTAGCAATTTAACAAGAAACTTTGTGGTTACCATTTTGCTTAAAATAACATACAAATGACTAGGAAATATAAAAAAAAACACAGGAATGCATAGGAACTAGGAAGTGATAGAATATAGATGTGAATAGAACAGTTCCAATCTGAACCATCATTTAAGTGAAAAACATCAAACATGATCTTTACTACAAAGAAATTAAACATAGAGTCATAGAAACGGAAGATAAAAAGCATAGGTCGACAAAGAGAGGAAGAAACAAAGAGTGCAATTGAGATCTATCAAAGTCATGAACTTTTCAAGTGCAAAGCCTTATATGCAGAAAAATCTTCCTATGTTCCCTAATAACTGCCCGGCATTGTTACTTAAAGACAAATGACAAACAAGTCGACTTGTCGCCCCAAATTCCATTCAACCAGAGGGTCTACAAGTTTGGCGGTCTCATTCCTCACATTTACTGTGGTTAAAATATGTGTTTCATATTGCAAGTGATGCCGCAAAGCATCTCCCAGGAAATAATATGACACAAAAGTCAAATGTTTCCATGTATCAAACCTTCATCATCAACCAAATAAAAATTTGACAGCTAACCAATACCCTACTGAGATGAGGAAGCATAAACTAAAAATGTGAAACTAGAAATGATAATGCTAAATCCATTTTGACAGAACAGCTGATATACTTGTTCAACTAAAACTAACTGACAGTCATTTACAATGACCCACCATTGACATAAGTATGTAAAAAAAGCATCCATTAGCAGCAACCTTAATTAAAAGAATGACAACACCATACATAACTAATTAAATTTAATGTATTTCAAGACGAACAGAGTTTTTTTTTTATTATTATTTTGTGAAGAAACCCCACTCACTTACAGATTGACATGTCATTGGACAGTGGGTGGAAAAAGCAGCATTCTTTAGTGTTAAATCCTTGATCTAACAACAGCGAAACATGCCTTCACAAAGGAAAAATGCAAGATATCATTACAAATGAATGTGGGGTGTGTGTGTGTCTATGTGTTTATGTGTATACGTTTAAAAATTTTAAATATTAACAAAAGGAGAGACTGAGATCTTATTTTCCAAGATAGTATAATGCAAAAAGGGGATAAATATGTTACAGAAAGATTACAGAAGAATAAGAAGCATACCGTGCTGATTCATTTACAAGAGCAAACGGAGTAACACAACCTAATGGCACCTTGAGAATTAGTAAAGCAAAAATGTCAGGATGTGAATTACAACCAACACAACAATGATCTATGCAAGTACGTATTAGAGTCATGAATAATGCATCCTACACCAAGCTTGAAGAAAATACAGTGGGTTGACTGGATCAAAATACAAACACTATCTATAATGAAAAAAACCAGCACAAAAACTGCGAAGACCCTCAAGAGAGAAGCACCTTAAAAATAAAGAACGAAGCAAAGAGCAATCTGTTTGAGCCTTCTGACAGGGATTATCATGAAGTAATGACAATCCAGCCAAACAACTAACCTGACTGCCAAAAGGCTATGTGGAATGGGATTTCTTAGACTTTGCATTGGAAGTTAAAGGATATGTATGTAGATGGAGAAGATGGATTAAAGGTTGTTTACATTTGATAAACTTCTTTATTATGCTTAATGGGAAGCCTAGAGGAAGATTTAAGTCATCTAGAGGATTGAGACAGGGAGACCCTTTATCTCCCTTTTTTTTTTCTTTAGTTGCAGATAGGCTGAGTAGATTAGTGAGAAGGGAAAAGAATAGTATTCTTGTGGAAGGATTTATTGTGGGGAGGGATAGGCTATCTGTTTCTCACTTATTGTTTACTGATGATACAATTTTATTTTCTGCGGGGATGAGGAAAAGATTTTAATCTTTAAAAAGATTGTGGAGTTGTTTGGGTTGAAAGAGAGCTTTCCATGTCCTTGCCTTCAGCTCCTTTGAACCCATGGCTTTCCCCTTACAATGGGACAGTTTTCAGAGGACACCTTACTATGTGCTCACGCATGCATGATTTGGTCATTCTTCATCACAGCATCTTGCAGATTTCAACGCATTAAAAAAAGTTGGTATCACAGATCTCACTAAGCCATCTATTCCACTCCAAACTCTGGCACCATGATACATAGGCAATAGATAACACCGAATCGTGCAATTGAAATATCAAGTACATTGTGCTAAATTATAGCATATGAAAGAACTAGCACAACACTAAGAGTCAATGGAAGATATCTCATCCCTATCATATCCATTTTCCAATCCCAAAACCAAGAATGTGGAATTTGATCGGCCAATGCCGTAAATAGGTTTTGTTAAAAAATAAAAAATAAAGGCCCTAAATAGGTCTCACACTACTATCCCCAGCAAGACTTGAACCTTCCATCACCCCCAAATGGAAAAGCAGTAGGTACCACCACTTCAGCTATCAGCTAGCTGTTTCCTGTTGACACTTTTTAACTAATATACACTTCACTACAGGAAGTCAGAAACAGAATAGAAAATATATATCCTTTTTTTATATCATGTTTGAGCTATTGCAACAAGAAAACAGATACAGCATCTTAAACGTTCTTAATTTCCACAGATATCACAGCCTATTGCCACAACAAAAAGAGAGAGGACAAAATAAATTTGAAAGCACTTTCGCACCTGAAGTATTTCTGCAAGTGCTTCTTCAGGAGCCATTCTCAAGCCTCCTTTTCCCAAACCAAGTCTCTGAGATAGAACTGCTCAGCTTCAATGCCACAATAACTCGGATAAACATCCAAGAATTTAAAATCAAGGCATGAATGAAAACAAAATGTATGACACACATGAAAACTTGATAGGAGAAAATCTATCTATGCAGTTTGAGCCTTCAAAGAGATATCAATCGAATCAAAATTAAATATCATATTACCTTTCAAATCTACTTTGGTATCTGCTAGAGCAGAAACAATATAAAATCTATGTTTCTTATCCTGCATAGAAAACCAGGAGAAACTTTACAAAAAACGAAGGACGCTTAACTATACTTCATCTCTCCATATACTCGAATATCATACCTTCAAAAATAAGTTTTTACTCCATGCACCTTTCATATGCCCCACATACTTTGCCTGATGAAAAAGAAAGGGAGATGATCCAAAACATATAGAGCGGAACAAAATTCACCCAGATTTTGCATATTCTTTTACCTGAGCTTCAACCGACAAAACAACAGGATGATCATATTGGGAAAAACCAATTTGAAGTTCCTAAGAGAACACAAAGTACAAATCAGATTCAGGACAACAGAGCAGTATTAAAGCATAATCATCACCTGAAAATCTCAAGTGCATTCGCTGAAAATCACAAGCATGCTAAGCATAAGAAAGTTGTCTTCTGCTAAAGTTTAAGATAACGATAAATCAAATCTTAGCTCCTAAACGTTTGTAAGCTATATAGAGGTTCCAGCTATATATCTTTATGCAAAACAATTAGCACTCAAAAATATGCCATGGTACCAAAGGAAGCAAGTGTTTTCTAATTCCAAACAAATAATAAATAAGTGTAGACTCTTACAATCTTAAATTTGCTACTTTTCTCCAAACCGTAATGAATTTCCATGGAGTATACATCATGCTTTAAACGAAACCTTCTTCTATTAATAATTTAATATGTAATAAAAAATATAAAAAAATCTTCCAGTTGCACCTGAGAGAGAAATTAATAACTACAAAATCTTATTATTTCACATAACCATTATGCCTTGTTAGAAATATATTGCCAATAGATGGAAATCAAGACCTAGAAAAGCTAGAATCAGAGATACTGATATCGTATTACTGCAATCGTCCCACGCTCCAGTATCACACGACCCCAAACGGGATGGATTCGTGACCTAGATCTCTCAAATTCCCGACCGAAACTATAACCCAAACCAAAATCAACACACAATCCAAGTAATACTTAATTATAATCATAACTGTTATTTCATATCTTTGTTTTGGTGATGCTTAAACTTATACTCTCATTTAATTAACTTGAATTTTTTATAATACAAATCTGCAATCATTAACCTTTTTTTTAGGTTTTTTTTTTTACACAAATTACATCAAACAGGAGAGGACTTGGAGCATAAGTCGCATAGAGTCACACTAAAACAGCATAAACCGCACATAACTCAAACAAAAATAGTAGTTATTCTGTTATAGAATGATCAAACCAATAGGAATCCAAACCCCAATCAGTACTCATTAGAGATCACAATGAACCGGAGAAAAATGGGTTTGTCCAAACTCACCCTGCTTGGACCAGAGATGGACCATACGTACTGGATGATAGACGAATACAGAGATACCCGTATAAACCCATGCGGGAATAGACTAAAACTCATCCCCGCCCCTCCCCGCTAAAGCCGTGATATCTGTATGTGTATATATATATATATATATATATATATATATATATATATATATCACAAACCCCACTCACCCACACACTCTTCTCTTTACCAAAAAAAAATATAATTTTCGCTTTTTTTTTTATCTATTTGTTATATAATGGGATTTCATCCTTCTTGCAGAACTATTTGGAAGGTTCTATAATTTTCTTCTTAAAATCATAAAAATTAATAATTATGGATGGGACGGTGACGCGGACGAGGATCAAAATTTAACCCCAGGGTGAGGACGGGGATTAAAATTTCCCCCACTAATGAGGGTGCGAATATTTTTAAAGCGGATACAAGGGTGGAGACTACTCCCCCTACCCCCGCTCCGGTCCACTGCCATTCCTAGTACTCATAGCCATTGTCACTATCATCCTCAGCGGCCTCAACACCAACCTCCTTATAATTCTTCTCCAAAGCAGCAAGATCCTCACGAGCTTCACAAAACTCGCCTTCATCCATTACCTCACCGACGTGCCAATGACCAAAGGCACGCTTGGCGTACATGAGATTGAACTTATGATCAATGAACACATCTGCCACACTTGTCGAGTTCGAGATCATGCACACAGCCCTCTAAACTTTTTTTTGTTGCTATTCACAACCATTAGTTGGTTTTTGTTTTTTTTTTTTTTTTTTTTAAGGGGGGGGGGGGGTGGAAGGGGATTGCAGTTTGCTTTAGAACATTTATCATATGTACACGTATGGATGTACAAGTCTATGAATTCATACAATAGTGATAAAATAAACATTAATTAATATTGTGAAGGGAAATATACTCATATTTAATCACCATATAATAGTAAAAGTGATCTTGATAAAAAATCCAAAACGAATCGTAATCCAAAATAACGTGTCAACTAAATCTACCTTAAGCATACCACATATCAAAAAATGTGTCGTACCATGCACATGTATTTGTACAAAACATCAAATCAAACCACAGTTAGGCAAAATTGAGCTAAAAAGGTTATATAAAAATCTCTCTTCCATTCAAATGTAAATTTTGCATATACTTTCCCAATCTCCCATAACTTTCACAAATGCATTTGACCAACCGATTATTAGATTGGGCTAATTACACCCCTCAGATATTCACAATTCTATTCGACTTCTTGGAAGGCATGAAAATATACAACGTCAATGAACTGGGAAGAATCACAATACTAATAGTAAGACTTCGTGTATGAGATGGCTTGGCTTAAAATGGACTTTCTTACTAAAGAAACATAGATCATTACGAGCAAGTTCTAAACATATCCATATAATTCTTAACTCATCATCCATGTTTTTTTCCCAATTGAAATGGAGAGCATTTCCACACCCAACTTCACACTTAAATTTTCCTTTTTTCTCTTTATTTACGTATTGAATTATTGCAACAGTTTGATTTGCCTCTAACTCGATTCTAGACTTTTGAACTTAATAGATTTAAACACACCTCCTATGTAAACCATTATAATATCTATATCCTTAGGTAGTGTTTGGAGTCATACTTTAAACTATGGTACATATAGATATCAAGTTTGTTGATTTGGGAAATCATTCTCAAGAAGAGATCTTAATTGGTAGTGAAACATAATCTAACATCCCAAACCCTCCTTGTGTGGTTTGAAATAAAATTCTATTGGTGTTATTAGGAACTCTTTCAGCCTGAAAAGCCAAAACCGGATTGAGGGACTTGTCCATCTTCCAAAATCTATGATCTAAGAGTTCAATGTGTGGCAAACTAGAATGAAGGTTATCCAAAATCCATGCATGGGCTTAGTGTTATTTAAGGCATAAAGCAAACCGAAGTGAACTAGTCTCCTGAGGCCTATGGGAGAAACGAGAGGCAAAGCGAGTGTTTTATCGAAGCGAAACGAACAGTATAAAAAAGAAACAAATATTTTAGTTTAATTACTTCTAAATATTCAAGTTCTAACTTCACAAATACTAAATATTTAAATGAAATCAAAACTATAAACATTTAAATTCAAACACACACTAATAATCTTAATTCTTAAATCTTAACGGCAACCATAGCATAAACATTAAATTTAAAAAAAAAAACACTAATAATATCCTAAATCCTAACATTTGAAAACTTAAAACACACAATTCAAGCAATTGAACATTTAGTCTAATGCTTCCACAAATCTTGAGGATTTGGAAATCATTCTCATCACCAATCAAATAATCTTCATTTTTCTTAGGTTCATCCGTATCGTCCTTTCAAAGTAATGAAGCAATGACTTCTCATCTCCAGGACAAATTCTGGGTGGATTAGGGTTTAATCATTAGACATATATAGGGATAAGGAGCAACGGATGATATAGGCATATCAAAATTTTAATCCAATTGATCAATTTAATGGCTCATAATAGAAAAAGAAAGCAACTTAAAAGATTTCACTAAAGCGCTCCCCTCGTCACTTTGCGCCTAAGCGTCAAAGCGATTGCCTTGGTCAATTTAATCTCGCCTTGCTTCGCCCCAAACCTGGGCTCACTTGGTGTCGCCCTCACCTAGGCAACGCGACTTTCATAACACTGCATGGTGTGCGAGCAAGATCCTGCACAATATAAAAAACGGGAACAGATCTCTCCCCTGGTGAGCTCGAGTGAGCGGGTGGAGTAAACAAGCACGCTGCTTGGAACAGCCTGCAAGGTATGGTAGTAACCCGGAGCGGCAACGGGAGATCCTGGGAAAGGAAGAACGATCCTGTGGGGATGAAAGGGGTTCCTGGAACAAAGAAGAAGAAGTTAGAAGGGCGCCGGAGTGTTTTCCGGCGTATCCCCTCCGACGGTCTAGTCAGTCTTTGAGTGAGAGAGAGGAAGGAGAAAACACTGAGAAAAATGTATTGTAGTAGAAAGTTTGTTGTTGCATACCCACTTTGCCTTTTGGGAGGAGTATTTATACCTTAAAAGCTCATGATTGCTGTCAGTGTGGTCAGTAGGTGATCATTAGGCACAGGTAGCGTGTGCATTGATTTTGATGAGGAATGTCTTCCCTAATTGACTGCTCGGGGTCCCGAGTAATCAATGCTGAGTCGTCGGGATGCCGACGGTACAATATGCTCCTCTCGGGGAGGATGCAATAAATGCTCTGTAATAAGAGCATTTATTGCCTTTCATTTTCGAGCCTTACCGCATTGAATGCGGTCTCATCAACAGAAGGGTGCAATTAATTGTTTGCTTTCCCAAGCCGCGTGTCAGCAACGACATGCGGTTTGTCTGCCTTTGATGTGACATCATTCGCCACGCGTCCATCCCCTATTGGCTGTGACCTCTGTATTCCAGTATGTTCTGACATTACTTGTGTAAGACGAGGTCATGATGAGCAGCCTAGTCTAGCCTAGACTAGTGACCTATACGTCAATAGCTTATTCTGGAGTAGAGGGAGCGTCCAGGACGGAGTAACTCTCGGCACCGAGGAAAGGCTCATCTCGGGGACCGAGGGAGATATGCGACCGAGGTACATAGGTGAACGAGGACACGTGTTGGTAGTAAAATATACTGAACGCATGATCCTGTATGAGGGTACCTCGGGGGCGAGGACATTCGTTCCCCGATGGTGCTTGATCCAAGCAACAGTGTTTTAGCAAAATCGAGGACACGTGTCTTCATCATAGGGCATTTCAGAAAAGTCCCATCAACTGCCCCCCAGCCTTCGATCTTCTGACACCGAGGACACGCGTTGTAAGGAGACGAAGGGTTTCCCAACTACCACCCGTCTTCATCATGGCCTCGAGCCGCTTTCCCCGGCTTGGGATGTCGTGCGCATTAAATGCGTCGTTTCGGTCTTCGCGCCCAATGATGAAAATTGCCCCTATATAAAGGGGGTTCCTCTCCGGTTTCCTTCGTTTTGCCATTTCGAACTTCCTCCAGAGTACGCCTTCTTGAATCTTCGCCGGAGTTTTGCTTCTTCTGCCATCGTTGATTGCCCTTTCTCTCAATATCTCAGAGCCATCAGACCCATTGTTGATTCCTGAACTTTCTGGAGGGAGTTGTTTTGAGGTTTTTCCAGAAAAAACTCCATTTTGACGTTCGGGTGAGTTTCAGAACCCTCTTTCTTTTCGTCCTCCTAGCCTTTTGTTTTCAGATTGACTGGAGGTGTCCTCCGGTCGATACGTTGTGATTTAAACCCTCGGGAGACTTCCTCAGGGTTTTTAAGAACAAGTACCCTTTTCTCTCTTTTTTTTTTAGAGATGCCTCGTCGCCGCCCTGCTCCCGAGAATCCTCCGGCTGGTCCTTCGGGGTCAGGGAAATATAAGGTGAAAGGCGAGGAGCAGATTGATAGGTTTAGGGCCAAGTACGGCATTCCTCCGTGCGTAGATGTAGAGGATTTTGACCCATTGGTGCACTCAGCTACCCTCGGGACCGAGGATGCCATGCCCTTCTATACCAAGGCCATCATAGAGGGTGGAATTAGGTTTCCTTTACCCCCCTGCTTCTTCAGTTCCTCTCTCGCTTTCGCCTCTTCCCCGGGCAATGCTGCCTTAATGTCTTCCGAATAATCATGGGGGTCTTAGAGCTCAATAGGCGCCTCGGGGTAAATATTGGGCTCAATGATCTCCTTTTCTGTTATTCCCTCCTTAGAGTCATGCCCCACCAACACTTCTACCTCAAAGCCAGGGACCCTTCCATGTACCTTGTAACCCATCTTCCCGACTCGAACAAGGGGTACAAGGACGATATCCTAATCTTCAAAAAATCTTGGCAGAGAGGTGTTGGTCCCGAGTACAATGACTTATTATGCCCTCTGGAATGGAGAACGACAAGTACGTCGGTTCCTTTGGGTTTCTTATTTGTTTCTCGGGTCTTCCCTTGTTTATGACAACTTTTTTGTTTGTGCAGATATTCCTGCTCGGGAAACAGCTCTTCCCCCTCGGTCGCTGGTGAACTTTGCTGACCTAATCACGGTTTGGAGGTTCACGGGTGACAACGGGTTTGGCCGTGCTGCTCATATCCTGCTGAACTATACCCCCGGGTATAAGAAGTTTTCGCAGCTTCCGCAACCTTTTGAGCCTTCGCAGTGGTCTGAACTCTTCGATCAGGCGGCGAGGCTAGAGGTTGAGGAAAACTTGGAGGAAGACCCGGATCGGGCTTCAGAGGCAGAGGTCGAGGGAGTTGCTGAAGAGCTCGGGGTCAGAGAGGACGCTGTTCCTTCAGACGCCGAGGTGGGGACTTCCGGGGGAGACTTGTGGCCAGACTTCCAAATCCTTCAATCTTTGGACGCCGAAGACGCTCTCGAGGCAGCGATGTCTAACGCCCCTCGCATCGATTTGGGGTTCCTTAGGCAGAGGCAAGCCCTCGCAGCCGGGAGAGGTCGAGGAACGACCGGCGGCACTCCTGCGGGGACCAGTTCCACCCCATCTTCGAGGGTTCTCGGTCGGGGTCAGGTGCGAGACCGGGATCCTCAGGTGGAGGAGGAGAGAAGGGTCAAGCATCGGCATGATGGCCTTAGCCGAGGACCCAAGGCACCTCCCGCTCACAGCAAAGCGGGAGGGGTCGTGGATTACCCCCTGCTCCCCCACAACAGCCCCGACAACAGCAACAACAACAGCAGCAGACTCCTCCTCCCCT